GTCGGCAATAACTACACCATTTTTTGAAAGATGGTTTGCCTTTAAAATTTGGGTGTTTTTCATACATATTTAGTATTTCAGTAATTTTTTCAACTAGGTTTGTATCTGATTCCTGTATGCTATTGATATGTGTAGTGTTTGTTTCAATTCGATTAACATATTGTAGTTTTAGATTTTCTGTTTCTTCAAGTTTCATTGTGATTTCCGCTTGCTCTAGTTTGTCTACTAGTTTTCGAAAAACTAAATCGGGTTCTCGAATTGAGGAAGGATGAGATGCTCTCTTTTTTATTGCTATTTTCCTTAATTGAGGTGTTAAGGTCATCATTAAAATTTCTGTCATTTTTGTGTTTTTATAGTCATGTGTATTTAATGAATATGCTTTTCGAACTAGTGTTTCGATACGTACTGCTAATTGTTTGATGGTTTCATTTGGTAATCTGCGAATTTCATTACATAAAACTCTTTGGTGTTGTTTATTTCTTTCGGAGTCAAACATTTTTGAAAATTCTTGTGTAAATCTTTTCCAATCTGATTTTGTTTTTATAGGTAATACTGAAAACCATTTTTGGGCTGCGCCATCTAAAGTTGTTTGTATCAACGCTGTGCGTCGATGTATCCAATTTTGATGTAGTGGTGTATTAATTGGTTCAGGTCCTATATATAAAATTAAATTTTCTGTTACTGCATTTAAATAATCTTCTACAGAATATTCAGGGTCTGTTCCTGTGAATACCATTAGTGGTTTATTTGATGTTATTGATGATCCACCCATAAGGTATGGATTCATTGTCATTTGTAGTGATTCTGCGGCATTTGGCATTTGTGAAAAATTTGAAAGTTGATTTTTTGTTATTTCGTGTTGTTGAAGGTAATATGGGAGTGGTATTTCATTTTGCATTTGAGTTGGTTGATATGAGTGTGTAATCATTGGGTTTTTTGGTTGAATTGGTTGAAAAGATTGTGTATTATTTGGATTTTGAATTTGTATTGGTTGTTGATTTCGTGTATCTGTTGGATTTGGAGAAAAAATTCTATTATATGTATAAAGTTTTTGCGCTCCTTGTCCGCGATATTCTTGGGTATACGGTGCAAAAATATCTGGTTGTAAATAATCATCATCAGATAATAAGTAGTCCATATGATGAGGTGCTTGCTTTTTATTTTTATTTTGTTGAAAGAATGGGTAATTTTCACTACAATCCTGTGGAGGATGTGAATTAGTTCGAAAATTTACTGAGTTGGTTGTTGTCATTGGGTTATCCCAATAGCGAGAACATACATGATTATTATTAGTTTTTCGTGGGGGATAACTTGTTTTTGACGAATGTGCGTAATTATAATTGTGTTCTGCAAAAGTGTTTCTTGTGAACGTTCTTCGTGTTTTTGACGGTACTGTCATAGGTCTATATGTTTGATAATCCATATGTGAATATTTTGGAGCAACCGAAGGTTTAAAGGTTGATTGTAAGGTTACTTGTGCCAGTGAAGTGTTTGTATTTTTTGGTGTTGTTAAATTTGGGCGTATCGGTGAAAAACTTTGTTGTGTAGTTGTTGTTGTTTGGACGATTTCTTCATTTATGAAGTGTGATGGTGTTTGGATATCTTGTTGTGTGAGATTCCTAGTTCCATTAAGGTTTTCATTGTGTATGACGGTCGAATTTAAACTGTTATTTCGCGTATCAGGTAAAAATGTATTGTAGTTTAATGGTGTTGCATCAATGGTCAGTGGTACTATTCTCACATAATCTCTTTGATAAGATATTGTACTTATTGCTTGACTTGAGATTGGTTGTGGGATTTTTATAAATGCATGATGAGACCATTCAGGGTCCCAAACGTAGTCTGACTGTTCTGTGATGGCAGTATCATCGTTTGGATTTTGAGGTCTGAAATTTTTTCTTGCTTGTGAAATTAAGTCTATATTATGTGTGAAATAATCTATTATAAACCATGCCAAAATTTTTTGTAAGTCATGTTTTGTGTGTTGTGAAACCTCGTCTTTAGTGAACATTTCTTTGATTATATGTAGAAAAGTTGAAAATAATGTGATTTCATGTCGGACTTTTGTATGTTTGGATGTCTCAGTTGGTGAGATACTTTGAAATTCTGTTTTTTCTAATATTGAAATATAGCTATATATTATTGCAAAAACTTCGTTAGTAAATATGGAGTTTGCTCTTTGTGAGTTATGATATTGTATGCTTTTAATATATTCTAAGAATACTTTTGAAAATTGTAATTCAAGATCGTCTGTTTGAAGAATTACATATTTGCGGTGATTGGGATTTGGTGTGCTGAATTCTATGGTGTAGATTCCGTATTGTTGTGTTAAATTACATATATCTTTCAGATAATGTTCAATAATTTGTCTTTTGATTTTTACATCTGGGAAGTCTGCTTTGCATGGGCTGATTCTGGGTTCAAACAAATTTAGGAGTAAATTCTTGCAAAAGTCATGCTGCCCTCTATTATCGGGTGCTGTTTGAGTATGGCTGTGGCTCATTTTTTTGTTTAATGACTGTTATTATATAACTATCGATGTGTCTAATTGGCTGATTCCAATTATACAAGTGTACTGGTTTGTGTTTATATTGCTTTTTTATTCTTCTTTTTCCTCTTTTTGATGAATTTGAAGTTGTTTCTGAGTCGGAAAAATATAATTGATCGTGAATGGGACAATTTTTACCAATCGATTCTTTTAATTTATAGAGTTCATCTAAATTGCTGGCTTCTGATTCTGAAAATGCGTTTCTATTTTTTTAAAATCTTTTTCGTGTGATTTGACTTTGTTTGTTTATTATTTTTCTTTTTATTGTTAGTCGTTTTGTTCTAATATATCCAACTGTTTGTGTATGAGGTGTGATTACAAGATCGTATTTTTTGTTATCTATTTCACAGTTGTGTAAAACGATTGTTTGTTTATTTCCTAGATTTTTGAATGACATAAGGTTTAGGATGAGGGATGCAAAAAGTTGTTAGATGATGTCTACTTTCTTAAACTGTTAGTCCTTACGATTTTTTTGGTTAGCTTAACCTGGGTCTATTTGTTCAGGGTTGGGGAGAAAAGTATATCGATTCCGAAGAATGATTTTTTACTTTCTCGTGGCTAGTATAAGCTAAGGTGTTAACTTACTTAATCTTACTTTGGGGTAGTGATTGTGTTCAAGGGTTGGAGAATAGTAAATCGATCCACAAGGTTCAGGTATAATTAGAACGCGAGTAGTTCGTTAGATACTATTTTAAACTTACTAAGTCTAAGATTTATCCTGGGTCTGGTAAGAGGAGGGTTCAAGTGAAGGTTGAATAACCGAAGTTCTTCACTGTTTATCCTAATTTGAATGGTTAGTTTTGTTGAAAAATTTCTATTAGTCTTGGGTTTTTTGGAAGGGTTGGATAGTGAATCGACGTTTGAGGTCGTTAGACACTTGCTAAGTGGATGGGGGAGAACAAAATTGTTCTTTTTGATCCAAGGATAGGCCTTGATGATCAGGTTTTTGAATTTAGTGAAATAGTAAATTAATTAAGATCCAAGGATAAGCCTTGATGATCTGATTTTAAAATTAAGTGAATTTAAGTTTAAAATTGTTTAAATTTATCTGAGAAAAAGATTTAGTTTTTTAATGATATTAGTAAGCTTATGATTGCTGTTATGTTTAGGTGATGAAGCTGGGACAACAGATGATTTTATGATTACTAACAATTTATTGTCATGCTACTAATTTTTGTTTTGATTTTCAATAAATATTTTTCAAACATGTTTTATATAAGACTGCAGAATTTAAGAAAACGATCTGAGATCTTTTTATCAATCGTTATTGTATATTAATAATTTTGTTTAGCGCCTGAAATGATTATGAAGATTGACTTCAAAATTTTATGTTTGCAAATGAAAATCTAAATTCATTGCTAGTAAGATTCTAAATATAAAAGTTTTTGTTGGCTTTTGCCGTACAATCATATAACTATATGGTAAGTTTCTACTTTGTCGTAGGTCGTCTCTTGTTCGAGGTTTTCTTACGATTCCGGGTAGTTCTGTTATCGTTCGGAATATCGGCTCTGATCTATTGAGTCGTAGAGACATTTCGATTAAATTATCATCGTATAACATTTTTAAAATGTTTTGTCTAAATTCTAATCTATTTTTGGTTAAATCTAAGCTATTAAGGTCTTATTCGAGATTTATGGTCGCACCAGATGAGTTAGATCCTTTGTGGTTAACTCATAGAGTAATTTCGGATAGGGTACACCGTCTGCTCGTCACGCTATCTTATTTTCGGCCGGATAGATTCGTGCAACTTCTTAGTCTAATACCGATCCTAATCTTACTCTTATACTTTCTAGTCTCAGGGTGTTTAACTAGTCTCTGCTAGGCTCAATAGATCTAGGGTATACTGGTTTGTTGCGGCTGCTGAAGTTCTCTTGGAGAGGCAACTAATTTCTAAGTTAAGTTCAAATCTCTCTGGTGCTGAAATTACAAGTAATTTCAGCACTTACAAATAAGTGGGTTGTTAGTTAGATGGATCATGATTGGTTAATATTAAATACTTTACAGTGGTAAAATATCTAATTTATCCAATCATAAAATATAGTTTAGATCAGGTTCCAAAAAGGTCAGAAATAATGGATCAATTTCTAATTTTGAAGCTGTTTTTGTTTTCAACATTTCCAAGAAAAACGTGACCTATTGATCCAGTTGTCTCGAAAATAGCAGAAGCAAAAAAATGCTGTAAATCACAACAAAATCCTTAATCTTCCGCCTGCGCCTTTTTCAATATCGAATAGTTTTTGGGGGGTAATTATTGAAAGTTATAAATTTTGGACAAGATCAAAGATAAACTGTAAAAAATTGAGTCGTAGAAAATTGACTGATTAGCTACCCTCAATATAGAACGGTTTTATTCTGCGGGATATTTTTACCACCTATAAATAATTTGCATTAAGCTTTCAATGGATCAATTGTGAGCGACTTAAGTTTTCAAGCATCTCGGTTGTGAATTTAGGCAAGAGGAAGTCGGAGTTCACTGGCCATAGCGATGACATCATGTCCCTCTCAGTAGCGCCTGACAAGAGGACCTTCATCACTGGGGCATGTGACGCCACAGCCAGATTGTGGGACATCCGAGATGGATTCTGTCGGCAGAGTTTCGCGGGCATGACGGAAATCCACGTGAACCAAGTCACTAAACCTTACTTTTCCTGTTTTTTTTTTCGAGATGATTTTTATCGAAATTGATCTTTTTCCAAATTGATACGCTTGCGAGCTTGTTTGTAAAAAATTCATTTTCTATGTTATAATTTTTGACCCCGTTCTAAGCGACAATTTTTCACAAGAAAACTAAGATTTTTAGCCAGTTTTTAAAAAAAAAAAATCCAATTGGAAGTTAAAAGATTACATAAATATTGAGTGAGAAAAAGTTAGTGCTACAGGTTGTGTATCACCCGACCAATCTGGCGTTTGCCTGTCTGGCCGATATGGAGGACGACCCGACTGCCCCGGCCGACAGCTGCATGTGTTTGTTTGACCTCCGATCCGACAACAAAATAGGCAACCAACTCTTCTCAGACTTTAATCGTTTTTGGGTCATTGAACTTTGTATCGGTGACATTTTTGGCCATTGAATCATTCAATTTTTCCTAAACATTTGTGAGTACTACCTGAAAACTTGGATCGTGGTTTTCGGTGATTGGAGGGTGTCGCACAATGTTGTTCTTTGACTTCTTTGAAATTGTTCTATCCTTGGAAAAAGGGAGAAAAAGCTGGGAAATTGGTGCAACATCAAATGTGTGCCATCGGCACAATCAGTAGATTGAATAACATAACCCTAAATCAATCAATATTCGTTCGCAAACCATCTGCATAAACGTTGGTCAGCATCAGTACCTTAAAAAGTCTACATACCAGTCCCCGACTCAGTCTATTAGAAAAAATTGTAGCGCCACTTTCTTTGATTTTTGAATTATGGGGGTACTATAATTAATTTACTAAGGACACGATCGGTTGAGTATTTCAGGAGAGACACGAGCGTACAGATATCGCTACACGAGTATGGACTTCACGAGGAGTGGCAGACTGGCAGTGGTGGGCACTACGGCAGACCCCGCCCTGTTCAACCCAGCCGCACAGAGCGGACCCAGCAAGATGATAGTCTACGATGCTCTCAAGCTCAGCGAAAAGGCATGCTTCTTTTCCTGCATAACTTATCCCAGATATTTTGGGAGGGGCATTGATCCGCTCCAAACCTTGATTTGCTGTTCGATAGAAGTTTTGTGACGATACTTTCTATCGTATGAAGATCCGCCATTTGGTTTTGCCGAAATGTCTTAGCAAGTTCATGTAGTCGCACGCATTATATATGGCTAAGTTTAGTCTATTTTTGACTTTTTGGTACATTAGTTTTGTGGTTTAATTTTTGGCAATCATTTCATCTCCTTTTGAGCTCCCTGACACGAACGGATAATTTTATAGCCAATGGTGTATGAAGGGACTTTTGACAGGGGATTGGATGCAGTCTTCTGAAAAATCTTTTTAACCAAATTTTAGATGAAATATTTGTTCTTTTTTTGATCTTTTTCATTTTTTTGATTCCAGGTGTTTGATTTGCTAACCTGCTTGCGTAAAATGATCGACTCTGATTACCTGAAAATTCCTTTTCATAATCAAATCAACACCCTCCTCCATCACAAGGTTAGGGCGGTAGGATCTTAACTTGGTCCGAAATTAGATCAAACATAATGTGAAGTTTTATGTTTTCAAAGAGTGCGACGCGGGTTGAGAATGCACACGATCATACGATTTCACACGTCACTGTATGTAATGACGGGAGTGCACTCTGCTCAAGTAGCCATGACACCCTGCTCAAAGTATGGACAGCCGCACACCCCAGAAACAGCTAATGTAGACACGAAAAGTGACTTTATTTTGAAAATTTATATTGCTTGCGTTTATTTGTTTCACGAATGATGTTGCGAATAAAGCTTCGACATTGGTATAATTAATGACTCAATTTGCTCTGAATAAATGTTCAAAAACGTTTGTTTCCAGATTTCTGCCTGCCCTATGCTCACGAAAAAACACAAATTCACATGTTCAGAGTAGGATGGAAAAGGATGTTTTTTTATAATAAACATAATCCCAATTTCCGACGCGGTATCAACTTCGATGATCAAAATATTATATATTAACGGGTTTTTTAAAAACTTAGATGACAATTAAGATATCAACTTTTTGACTTCGTGTTTCACTTGCAAAAATTTTTGTGCTGCTTCAAAACTATGTCGCTCAAATCTTTGTTTCGGGAATAAATTGACGAAACAATTTTGAAGATTTTTCGATCATTTCGACCTTTAATCGGCTAAAAAGCATAAACATTTTCGTTAACCAGACTACGTTTGACATCACCGATATTCATAAGCCTGTGCTGAAGTTCACACTTTGGCCTAACATGGTTTTTGACAGACAAAAACTTGTCAGTCAAGGTCGGCCAGGGCCATTTTATGAACTAGTTTAAACAGATAAACAAAACAAAATGTTTTTTTTTGGAGGGGAGGTGGTTCAAACCCGGTTACTAGTTTAAATACATAAACAAAAAATATATATGTTTTTTTTTTTGCGGGAAGGGGGTTCAAACCCGGTTATTTTCTGTCAAGTTAGGCTCAAATTTGTGTTTTATCAAGGCAACGACTTAGGTGGGATTCGAACCTGCGCCGAACCAGCCAGAGAAAATCGTGTATACACTCAGCTACTGTCCCTCCAAATTACTGCATTTATAGTTCGACTTAAGGTGCAGTTACGTTCTTAACATACTGCCCTTTTTCTCTATTGGGAATATCGTCCGCCCCAAAAGCCGGAAGAATCGGAGCTAATTTAACGAGGGGTCTTAGCGATTGACCCGATAAGGTCTTAACCGTTGCTGAACGCAGGATGTTATCTTTGCCATAGTGCAACGCAGTTACTCGACCAAGAGGGTGGTGCCCAAGAGGGCTGCTGGGATCGACGATCCAAACCAGATCCCCAATCCGTAAGTCACGGTTGGAATCAGCATGCCACTAAGAGCGCTCGTTCAAGGAAGGGACGTACTCCTTCAGCATGCGCGTAAGACAGTACTTTCGGGTATCTAATTTTTCGTCTTCGGAAGAGCATGTGTTGAAATGTCTATGAGGTTGTCCATTGATTTCTTGAAATGATATTAGTAACAACATCAACATTTAATTGGAACTAATGATCCATACTGGTGTTTTCTCTTAACCAAATTGTAACACCGTGGTGCTATCGGTCCACAAAAAAGTCTATATCTTCCTTCAACCGAGATGCCAGCAAAACTGCCTGCAACGCCATCTTCAAAATGGGCGAAGCCCTCACTGACGCTACCCTTGCTTCATCAAAATTGAACGTAATTTCGGTTTTTTGCGTCTTGGTAAATCGGGCACGAATAAAAAAACAACCGCGCAAAACACATCTTGCAAGTTAACCCTAAACATTTGGAGCTCCTATTGATCCAATGGACTACTGAAGTACCAAAAGGGAATTAAAATTTCTGTTAACACAAACAGGCTTGAACGTCACTCATGGAAATGTTTCCGGAGCGCTTCTGGTGAAAGATTATCCGATTGTTGCCCAGTTACGTGCATATGTCCTCAAGAAGCAGACAGGCCCTCACCTTGTAGGCAGCCACCAAACTAATAAGGTCAAAGACCGATGAATCAAAACTAAGAACTGTTCGTTGCGTAAAGGATGTTTGAAGCTCACGGTTAACTCCACGACAAGCAAAAAGAAGTTTTTTCCATGATTCCACGTGAGCCCTTAAACATGAGAATTCAAATGGTCGCTACTATTGTCAATGTCGTTTACTTTTTCAGTTACATCTTTTGAAGGTATAAATTTTCTTTAATTGCAGGGCTAATATGAACAAACTTGGTGAGCCGGAGACCACCAATACAGTGAGGCTCACCAGATCCTTGCTTGTTCTCATTGGGTTATCACAATTTGAACCCAAATAATCATCCATGTAGAACCAAGTAAGCAGTGCTCTAGATGCTTCAAGAATTTTTTCAATATCCTTTTTTTTGCGTAGACGTTAAAGTGATGTTATCGGAAACAAACGTAAAAAATTTCGCGGTGAAAAAGGTCTGCCGAGCAAAGATAAGTTCAAAGGTTGACCGTGAAGTTTTGACGCGCAATTCAAAACTCGACAATCCCAAACTGGTTTGTTTGAATGGATGACTTAATGGTGGGGTGAGAACCATGCACACGCTGAGCGGAGCGGGTTGCGGTTTAACCGGAATGACAAACCCTTTAATGGGGTCCTCTTTTTTGTCTCAGTGTAATTACTTTTTAAACTACTATCTTTATCGGGTCATTTTTCATGCGTGATAATCATTGTGTAAAGTGCTGCTAACATCGGCCCGAAACATTTCTACGCAGTACCGCTCGCTATCAGGGTATGTTGTTGAATCAAAAATGTTATGCGCTCGCTGATTACGACGCGGACGATGAGGGAATTAAACTGGGGTAGCTCACGGCCATCCTTCCTGAAACTAATAGGGTCAAAACCGATGAAAAAAAAAAACAGAGAACATTTCGTTGAGTAAAAGATGTATGAAGCTCACGGTTAACTCCACCACTAACAAAAAAGAGTGTTTTCCGTGGTTCCACGTAAGCTCTAACACATGAGAATTCACATGGTCGCTACTATTGTCCTTTACTTTTTCAGTTACATCCTTTGAAGGTATAAATTTTCGTTAATTGCACGGCTATTTTTAACAAACTTGATGAGCCGGAAACCCGCCAATACAATGAGGCTCGCCAGATCCTTGCTTGTTCTCATTGGGTTATCACAATTTCAACCAAAGTAATCATCCATGTAGAACCTAGTAAGCACTGCTTTAGATGCTTCGGGATCTTTATCAGTATCTTTTTGTTTTTGCGGATATGTTAAAGTGAGGTTATCGGAAGTGCATTAGCACGTGTAACAATTTTCACAGTGACTTAGGCCCACCGAGCAAATATATGTTCCAAGGTTGATCGTGAAGTTTTGTTGCGCATTTAAAAACTCGACAAGCCCAAACTGGTTTGTTTGAGATGATGTCACAATGGTGGGGTGGAAACCATTCACGGGCGGAGCGGAGCGAGCTGCGGTTTAACGAAATGACATACCCTTTAATGAATTCTTCTTTTTTTTGTCTGAACGTATTTACTTTTTAAACTATTATCTTTATCGGGTCGTTTTTCAAGCGTAATAATCATCGTGTAAAGTGCTGCTATCATCGGCCCGAAACATTCCTACGCAGTACCGCTCGCCATCAGGGTATGTTGTTGGATCAAAAAAGTTATGCACTCGCTGATTACGACGCGGACGATGAGGGAAGTAAGCACTCAAAACGTATCCCACCGGCAGACGAACAGCCAGTGGAATTCTTCTATCCGTATCAATATAATCAAACGGCGTATGTGACGATAAAATCCTGACCTACTACCGTTTCGATGGTCGAAAAATTATAACGAACTAGACTAGTTATATGCGTTCCATGTATGGATATTTTTGCTAAGAGCCGGAACATCAACCGTTTGAGACCCAAAAATAATTTAGTGGGTAGTTACATTGGTAGAACAATGTTAAATTTTTTGAAGTGGGTGCTGACAACGGTTTGAGGTTGCCCAACTTTTCATTTGAAGAATTTTTGTGCATCCCTGTATATTTGATCGGAATATGTGAAGTCCGCTATTGCCAACTTAGCTTTCCCAGTTAACAGTGTTTTCAAATATGTCAGCTTGACGTCATCCAAAAAGAGCTGAATGTGATTTAACCGCGCTGCGAAACTGACCTAACAATTATGCCATTCCAACGGATTACTATCATACTTGGAAAGCTTCGATTCGGGTAACGGATCCGTCCTGATCGTTGCCATTACTTCGGCTAAGTCTCGAACGGATATCGATTGCGATAGTGCGTTGATATAATTCGGTACCGGTTGGTGTACGCACGATTCGACTGCATTCAAGAATTGTGACTGATGAACAAAAGAAGTTAGAATATCCGACGCAATTGGTGATAGCAGATACTGTTCATGGGACGGATTGAAATTTTGAACTTCTCCACCAGTATTGTACGGGAAATTTACAGATTTTGGGGTGCAACTGAGGTTTTTATCTCAATACGTACGATGAATCAGTCAAAGTTAACGGGTTACAAACTGCAAGAGTCGTTGTTGCAGTTGCAGGAAACCACGATGAGAGGTTCGTGTGACAAAACTGGCCCTCATGGGGTACTGCCGAAACAACTGCACAACTGCAGTATAAGGAGATGAAAATAAAAACGAAGGTAATTGAGTTTTTCAAAAATTAGCGGATGTGGCAGGCTTAGCCTTCAGCCACTGACTTGGAACTGAAATCTGGTGACTTTTTTTTTTCATTTTGATTTAAATCGACATTTATTTGCCTATTTTGTGCTTAGTATAAGTGATGGCGTAAATCTGCATAGAAGATCAAGAATCATGGGAGTGTTTTCAGCCCCATGGATGTTTGTTGTCGACAAACCTCCTAATTGGGCGGATTTGTACATCTTCCAACCCTTGCTTGGTTTCTAGCTCCCGTTGTTTCAGTTCTAGTAAGCTTCATTGATTCTTCTTTTTGTCTCTCGACCTCTCGACCTTAGAGAAGATAAAACGAAAACTTTTTTGAGAATTGCACCAAAAATGGAAACCTCGAAGTTCACATCGGTCTAGGTCATCAGGTTGGAGTAAAACCGTCTCAATTGTTTACAGTTTAAGACAAAAGAAATGTTTCTGGTTAAATTATGAACTGAAGAGGTCAAGAGACAAAAAAAAGAATCAATGAGCTTACTAGAACTGAAACAACGGGAGCTAGAAATCAAGCAAGGATTGGAAGATGTACAAATCCGCGAGGGGAATAGAAAAAGCATATGGAAATCAAAATAGTTGAATTGGAGGAAGACTCAGACTATGTTGACTTTTCTGCTAGCTCAATAGGCTCTCACAGGGAAACAGCAGATAAACTCACAGAAATTAGGGTGGAAATTGTGTCTAATTTGAATTCAGTAGTGACGTTAACCGAGCTAACCGCTCACACTTCTTGATTGAATACGGTTCAGTATAACGACCTGATGGAAGTCGTCCCTGTGTGTAACTCCCAATTAGGAGGTTTGTCGGCAACAAACATCCATGGGGCTGAAAACTCTCCCATGATTCTTGATCTTCTATGCAGATTTACGCCGTCACTTATACTAAGCACAAAATAGGCAAATAAATGTCGACTTTAAATCAAAATGAAAAAAATGCCACCAGATTTCAGTTCCAACTCAGTAGCTGAATGCTAAGCCTGCCACATCCGCTAATTTTTGAAAAACTCAATCACCTTTTTTTAAAATTTCATCTCCTTATACTGCAGTTGTGCAGTTGTTTCGGCAGTACCCCATGTAGGCCAGTTCTGTCTTACGAACCCCGCATCGTGGTTTCCTGCAACTGCAATGCCGACTCTTGCAGTTCGTAACCCGTTAATTTTGACTGATTCATCGTACGTATTGAGATGAAAATACCAGTTGCACCCCAAAATCTGTAATGTTCCCGTACAATACGGTGGAGAATTTCAATCCGTCCCATGAACAGTATCTGCTGTCATCAATTGCGTCGGATATTCCAACCTCATTGTTCATCAGTCACAATTCTGTAATCCAGTCGAATCGTGCGTACACCAACCTGTACCGAATTATATCAACGCACCATCGCAATCGATATCCGTTCGAGACTTAGCCGAAGTTTTGGCAACGATCAGGAAGGATCCATTACCCGAATCGAAGCTTTCCAAGTATGATGGTAATCCGTTGGAATGACATAATGGGTAGGTCAGTTTCGCAGCGCAGTTAAATCACATTCAGCTCCTTTTGGATAACGTCAAGCTGAAAACACTTTTAACTGGGAAAGCTAAGTTGGCAATAGCGGACTTCCCGTATTCCGGTCAAATGTACAGGGATGCACTAAGTTTCCTATATCAAAAAGTTGAGCATTCT